TTTAAGTATACTTAGTTGTGTTTGATTTTCCATTTCTGGGGTGATAAGGAAGTGTTGGAACCAGTCAAGATCATTTGAGGTGTCACATTTTTGTTTGGAAGATTCATTATTTTTAGTTTCTGTATTGTATGGATTATTAATAGATAAGTTATTATTAATTGTATTAGTGAGATCAGTAGCGAAGGTATTATCAATATCCATGGAGTGATGTTGAGTATTTAATATAGAGGTATGGGAGTTGTTAGTAGAGGTAAGTGGTGTGGTGTTAGAGTAGAAGATAGAAGATTGGTTTTGAAACTAACTTTGCTTGAATATGTAGATTCTTTTGGGAAATGTGATTGTGAGGATTGAAAAGATTTGCTAGTGTTAATATTCAAAGAGGGTTTTGAGAAAAGAGCAGGGAATTGCTCAATATTAGATGGAGTTGCTGTAGATGATAAGCTGATAGGGGAAGTAGTATTTTTTTAAAGGTTTTGAAAAATAGAGGTTAAGTCTTTTCTGGCTTCATCGAGTGAAGAGATAGCAGTTGAGATAGTAGGGATATTTGAGGAAGTTGTAGAGGAGAAGGTCAAAATATTAGCATAGTTAGTATAGTAAACCTCTTGGTTTACAAGTGTAAAAGGCTCGTTAGAATGATATTTGTTACTATAGAAGTAACGTGTAATAATTTTAAGGCATTTAGGGCAGGTATGCTAACAAGGTTGGCATGTAGAAGAAGGTGAAATATTATCAGAAGTTTCTGAGATTTGTTGGATAACTTTTGTACCCTTTTGAAATAGCTTTTTGCCAATAGATACTCAAGAAAATGTAGCGAAGGTTGATAAATAAAATTGTTTTTAGTAATAAATTGAGTATAGTATTTGCTACATAAACATGTAGCAATTGATATTGATTTTGGTGCACAGAAAAGGTGTGCAGCTATCTTAGTACATGTAGTTTTGATATAGCAGTTAGAAGGTTCCTGGCCTGGTGGGATTGGTTTAATATTGTCAGTTAGTTTGTCTTCAAGAATGGCAATACCAAAGCTTGTAGAGAAGTAAGCATAGAAGTAGTCAAGGTCAATAGTATCTGGTTCTTGCTGGGTTGAAGTGGGGATAAAAAAGGATAAAAATTAATAAATTTAACTTAGAATCTGTTATAAAAATTAATTTTTTGTGATATTTTTTCTAAGTTGAAAATAGGGTATAGAAATAAAAATAGAGGTTGTGTTATTATATGCTATTCAGAGGTAGGTAAAAATGGGGTCTTAAATTTAGATTACACAAGGTTACGTGACCTTTAAGTTGGATTTTGAAGCTTTGTGTTACACAAAGTTACATAATAATCACGTGTTGTACAAAATCAAAAAGGAAATCTTATTGTATAAATAGAAATTACAAAAAAGGCAGATATTAAAATTGTGCAATATTAGTTGAAATGATGCAATTTTGGTATGATTTAAGGAGTACCACTAGTTTTATAGTATTGTAGAACGTGGGTAGCACGGCTGAGATGGCCTTAGTTATACAGAAAACATCTCTAATTTTTGGAAAAAAAAGAAATTCTCTAAGTAAAAGAGAAGAGAAAAAGTAAATGGAGTTGAAAATTGCTTTGCTTATAACTTGGTTAATATTGAAGCTACAGAGGTTTATTATAGCTTGTTTTGAAGAGAAAAATGTGTAGAATAATTTGTTCTTAATATTGAACAGGATTAAGTCTCTAGTTTAGGTGTAAATGTCAAAAGAAGACTATTTGGCCTAAAAGGCCGTAATTTTAAGAGTTTGGGTCCATTTCTTTTAAAATTTTTATATTCTATATAAATTTAGATGAGGTGCAAGTTTTGTTAGAGCAAAAAATTAAGTTGTCTTAATAAAATATTGTAAAAATAAACTTTTTTGTTGGACAGTTTTGGGAAATTTTTTGTACTAAGGATCTATGGAAAGAGTTTTTTATAATAATTAATTTTATATTAAGACATTCATAAAATAAAATTGTTTTTATCAACTTCATTTCTTTCTTTCACAAGATTTGAAATTTATAGAATTAAAATGTTGATAAATTCATAAAAAAAAATTATCTATAAATATACTAAATGTTACTTTTTTATATGTATATCCAAGTCGATATATAACCTTCTAAATTGTTATAAGACTTATATTATGTTCTAGCCAAAGTTCTATATTGGATTGTAATTTATATAAATACTAGCCAGGTTTTTTCTTTATTAAAGCTTTATATCATTTGTGTTTAATGAGCATAGTTTTCTTGAAAGTGATAGGACTTTTTCAATACATCTATAGTTTTGAAAACATTTGAGAACCTGGCTTATAGAAGATATACTAATACTTAAATGTTTAGCGATTATTCGATATGATAGACCTTCTAATTTTTTTTAACAATTTTTCAATAAAGCGCATTAAAAGTATCATATTTTGGATTCAACCAAAAATCTAATAATTATATAATATTTATATTATTTATATTAGTCACCTAATTTTAAATTATATAGATATATCAATTTATTGAATATATTATACTAAAATTACAAATATAATTGAATCAGCCATAACATCATTTAGTCAGGTGTTCTAGGTATAATAAAAATAGCTATAATAAAAATAATAATTTGTACTTAATTTGGCATGAAACTATACCAGCATTTAATAAATAGAGAAACTCATTGTTTGGTCAAATTTGCAGATCATTTGGCCAGATCTAGAACAAAATAATTTTAAATCTGGTCAAATGATTTGCAGATGAAACAGATCAAACAACAGTTATCATTTTTTCTAAAAGGTTTTATTATATTTTATGATAAATATTATGATAACTAGTAATCCAAATCACTTCAAATTTTCATAGTAGATAGGAGCAATATTATTATATAATATATAAAAATTTTAGCTGATTTGGTTTGATAGCTATTGAGTATTCAATAGTTATTTTTTTTAAAAAGATTAACTATCATATATAAGTGATTACTCGAGAACTACAAAACAAAATCAGCTAAAAGTTTATATATTATAAATGAACATAATCACTATCTATGATAAAATTTAAACTAATTTTGATTACTAATTATTGAGATATTCATTGTCAAAGTTAGATAAAAATAGTGAATTTTTTTAATAATCAATTATTATACAATCTTTACTCAAACTTTGACAATAGATATCTTGATAATAAGTAATTTAAATTGGCTCAAATTTTTAGTATAGATAGTGATATATTTGTTTATGATATATAAAACTTTCAGCTGATTTTGTTTTGTAGTTCTCGAATAAACACTTATATACAATATTCAATTTTTTAAAAAAATTGACCATTGCATACAAGTGATTACTCGAGAACTATCAAACCAGATTGGCTAAAATTTTTATATATAATATAATAATAATGTTTCTATTTATAATAAAAACTTAAATCTATTTAAATTATTAGTAATCAAGATGTATATTGCCATAGACTACAACAAAATTTTAAACTTCCACAATAGAGATGACAACTATTTTTAGCTAGCCATTTTAGCAGTATCTCATATTTAATTATTTAAAATTAGATGATTTTAGCATTATTCAGTTCATCTCAATAAGACAAATTGAATGTACTAAAATTATCTAATTTGGATTACTGGAACATGAGATACTGTATATCCAAGGCTACAAAATGGCTAGCTGAAGATAGCAAACTGTTGCATATATGTATTTTACTATTTATATTTATATGTATGACTAACTCATAAATTTTTATAATCCGCAAGTTATTTTTTTAATTAGTTGTGAGCCTACAACAAAATTAAAAAACTTATATTCTCTAGCATAATAAATTGACTTATTACTTATTTTTATGTATAAGTAATTTTATAAATCAATCATATTATTAGTCTATGTGTTGTTAATCAGGTTTTATACTTATATTTTAAAATATTTCAGTCTTCACAATAAGAAAATCTTTTTAAAAAATAACAAGTACTTACTATTATATAATAATTTGTAGATTTGCAGATCATTTGACTGGATTTAAAATTGGTTTGTTTTAGATCTGGCCAAATGATCTGCAAATTTAATCAGAATTATAACTGATAGATTTCTCTATTTATTAGATAATTTAAACCCAATATAGTTTCTTGCTAAATTAAGTACTAATATATAATTATTTAGTCACTTATTAAGATATTGATCAGCTATAGCTAGCATTATGCCTGAATATGTATTACATTATTCATCTTGTAGGAATTTCCAGTATTGTCATTATTATTTTTTATTACTTATTATTATTAGTATTACGTATTATTATTATTTTTTATTACTTTCTTATCTAGATATAGTTTAGAAATAATCATTGGGATACATAGGAGCTTTAGACTCCCAGATAAAATTGTAAGCTCTTACTAAAAGTAATTGACTCCTGGATGAAGGGAAGAACTCTCAGTGGGAGTTTAAAACTCTAGGCTAAATTAACAAATATAAAAGAGTGGGTTTCAGATTTGAATAAGAAGAATTATTACTTGTGGTAGTTTATAGTTTCAGTTATAGTTATGATTAGATATAATTTAAATATACAAGATTTATTTGAAAAGCATTTAATAAAGAGAAACCTTATACTCTACAATTTTAAAAGTTAACTTATAAATCAAATTAAACTATCAAACTCATAACTCTATTACATAATCTCAAAATTTTTTACTGTCTACTATGTAATTTAACCAACTTCCAAAGTAATAATACTGTTTATAATTAATACTTATTTTTGTTCAAGATCAGAACTAAATCAGATAAATTATTTGAAGCTCTCCCGCTCAACCATAACATTTGGTGCTGATTGTGTGAACGTTAAACAATACAAAAAGCAAATTTAATGCTAATTTTTAGTCTAAAGATATATACATTAAATGAAACAGAAATTGAAATAACTTATCTATTATAGATCCTTTGTTGGATATTGATATTGATGATGATCATCATGGCCAGGAAGATCAAGAAAATAGTTTATAATGCCAAATTCATCAATTATTGAGATTAATGGCTAGTGCTCTACCTCAAGCCCTTCAAAATAATCAGATACGAGAAATGAATGTAGTAACTATTTCCATGTTTGCTAGAGAAATCAAGATCTAGTGGCATGGTTGAAATCAGTTAGCCATGCATTTGAAGCAAATAACATTCAAGGTAATCGTCAAATAGCAGTGGTAGGTACATATTTAATAGAAATGACTGGGAAACTAGAAGTAATACTAGGTCTCATATTGCTAATTGGAATAATAATTTTTACTTGGATACGAGTTTTGTTTACCAATTTTATCAAAACTTCTGTACCCAAATTCTCATAAGCCAATAGAGTACAGAATTACTCACTAGACACCAAAAAGTAGAGAAACTATTGATCAATATATATTAGAAATGGTGGCCTTATTTAGATGGATTAAAATAGTGAGAAACCTGTATTCTGAAGCAATGAAGGCCCAAATTTTTGTAAAGAGTTTACAACCTGATCTGGAACTTGCAGTAGGATTATTTATGCCAGAGACTTTGTAGACAGTGATAGAAAGAGCTAAAGTGAGTGAATTGACACTTTTAAGGAATATGATGATGTATAATCAGACTACGTTTATCAATCCGGTTACCTTATATCTTCAATAACTAGCTAGCCTACCAGCTTAACTTCCTACTTCCTTAAGCATGACTGAAGATCCTATAAAGAAACTAACTTCAGTAATAGAGCAATTGGGGTCTTTGCCTTGAAAATCACCTTCCAAAATTTCTGATCAGGCTAATTTAGACAAAATCAAACCTGCATATTAGTTCATGTTTATATGTAAACCTCCTTTGCCTTTATTGATTCAATAGTTTATTTGATAAACTATTGAATCAATAAATACAAAGGGGATTTA